GGAGGCTGAGGCAAGAGAATTGCTTAAGTCCAGGAGTTGGAGATTGCTGTGAGCTGCGACGCCAAAGCACTCTACCAAGGGCAGTAACGTGAGACTCTGTCTCTTAAGAAAAATAAATAAATAAAATAGAAGCGCAGTATGAGGAACAGCCTCCTACTGGTTCGTGGTAGATTAGGTGGGCGTGGCTTTCGGTGACTCGCTGTTTAGGAGATGAAGGGCTGAGTCCTGTTCCTGTCAACTACTTTACCATTAAAATTAAATTTGGCTCTAAAGACAGCCAGAGACCAGGAGATCCACCGGACTTTAAAACGTGTTCTCCCATCAGTGCCCTCGGTTTTCCACTTGGATGGAAATACATGTCCCAGGAGTGACCCCAATGGTGACGTTTCTCAGGCTAGTTAAGAATCCAGCCAACTCGGGGGTCCCTACAGGCAAACAGCAAAAACCACAAAAACCAACACACAACCACACCAGTAGGGCGAGGCTGGTGTGGGAAGGGAAGGAATCCGGCAAACGCAGTTCCAGAGAGAAAACCGTCTAACGAGAAGCAGGGAAGAAGAAGGTGCAAACACAGCCGCAGACAGGAGGGAAGCCAGGGCAGGAACGGCAGAGCAGGAGGTGCTGGAGGGACCGGGAGAGCGCTGAGAGAGTCACCAGGGAAGGAGGGAGACCGACACGCGGTGAGGGGCTGGGGGTCATGGGACCCAGCTGTCTCAGACGCAGACGCATGTAGCCTGGTGCACATTACCTTAATAGCAACGTAGTTCTTTAAAGACTTGGACATTTTTTCTTTGCCTTTCACATGCAAATGCCCTGAAACAAACAAAAAAAAAACCACCCTGAAAACTTCTGTTCTGAACTGGAAGAGGAGAGACTCTGCAGCCCATGAGAGAGAGCCAAGTGGGGAGCAAAGCTTCTGCTCCTGGGGGACCCTGGGCCACAGCGTGGCCTCAGGCCTTTCCCCCACCTCACCCCACAAGGCCCCCAGCAGACAGGTGGGAGCTGCACCTACGATACCTATACCGAGGGATCCCTAGGGATCATGTACAGTGGTTGCCCCAAACCTCCACTTGCACCAGGGAGGTGTGAGCCCCCTAGGGAGATGTGGGGTGCCCCCCAGGGAGATGTGTCCCCAGGGAGATGAAGCCCCCACCAGGGAGATGTGGACCCTAAAGAGATGTGCTCCCCCACCCAGGGAGGTATGTCCCCAGGGAGATGTGGCCCCAGGGAGACACAGCAGCCCCCAAAGATGCGTGGCCCCCAGCTGGCTCTGTGGCTTCAGGCACACACAGCCTCACACTGGGCTGATGCCACAGGTGCCCTGGCTGACTCAGAGCTGAGGCCAGATGGGCAACCCTGACAGCAATAGTTCATATTTTCCCCTTCCCTGTAATCTGAGACATTAATTTGACTAAATATCTGAGGCAATGATAAATCTCTCATTTGGCAAATTGGGCTCCCAGCAAGAACTTGTTCCGAACACCCCAGTCCAGCCTGCAGTCTCCGACTGTGATTAGTCACGGCTTCTGTTGGGCTGCTTCCCTGGACTTTTCAAGACCTTGGTCTGATCCCTCCCCAGTGTAGATGAAAGAAAATCCCATACATTAGGGGAGAGGGGGCAGACCAAGGGGAGGAAGAAAATCAAACCATTTAGAGAAATTCTAAATCTGAGTCTGGAATTCTGGCTGGACTGTATTTTTTACAAGGCTTTTTCCAAGGGAAGGGGCTTTCTGTTTGTAAGAGAAAATTCTTCCTCTTTTCCTTACACAACTTCAAATATAAGAGTACTCCAAAGCCAATTTTTCTAAGAACACTGGTTAAAATGTGATTACCAAAAAGAGATAGAACTTTGAACATGTAATTCTAGTGTGTTATCTACACCATGCACGCATGATTACAGTTTTTATTTATTTATTTTTTTTGAGACAGAGTCTCACTATGTTGCCCTCAGTAGACTGCTGTAGCATCACAGCTCATGGCAACCTCAGTCTGTTGGCTTAAGTGATTCTCTTGCCTCAGCCTCCCAAGTAGCTGGGACTACAGGCGCCCACCACAACGCCCAGCTGTGTTTTGGTTGTAGTTGTCATTATTGTTTGGCAGGCCCGGGCTGGGTTTGAACCCGCCAGCTCCAGTGTATGTGGCTGGCACCCTAGCCGCTGAGCTACAGGTGCCAAGCCAATGATTACATTTTTAAAAAACTGACAGTATCTAAAACTGAATCACATTTGCTGTTGTCCGAATGTCTACACCCTCCCAGAGCCTGTGCTGGAACTTAGTCCCCATGTGGTGGCATGTGGAAGCAGGCCCTTGGGAGATTAGGTCACAGGGCAGAGCCAGGACTGCTGGGCTCAG